GAGAGAGAGAGAGAGAGAGAGAGAGAGAAAGAGAGAGTGTCGAGCTCAGGGCTCCATGACACCGCGCAGGGTGCTTCACGACGTACGCGCTAGAGGGGCGAAGTAAAACTGCACGCAGGCGAAGTAAAACTGCACGCGACATCGGCGAAAGTTGGCCTAGGCGCTTCGCACGGATGCTTCGCGACAGCCTGGGGCACCCACAGCACCGTCGCGGACTGAAACGGCCCTTTGAAACAGTAAAAACGCGCGGCACTGCGCTAAGATGTAGTTGGGTTGGCCTGCCGTCGTGAAGCGCCCTCGACTCCGGTATCACCGGACGGCACTTGACGGTAGTACCCCATGGCGCGTTTATCTGAGCCGTCGATCCGGACGGACGGCCTGGATCTGGGCGCGGTACTAAGATCTTAAGACCGCATCTATCCAGGCCGTCGGTCTGGTAGGACCCGACGGCCCAGATCGCAGATTTGTTACATGGTTAGGTTGATCTGGGCCGTGGGCCGGTAGGACCGACGACGGCCCGGATTTCAGATTTGTTACCTTAGCGATTTTAATAGTGTAGGGATAAAAGTTATCATAAAACAGAATTGCTTGTGCGTATGCGATTTCGAAAACTCAAAATGTGACTTTGAGGAGACTGGATGCAAAGAAAGCAGTTGCTCTGTACTTCCCCCTTTTCTGATAACCATTCATTCATCCCCTCTTTGAAATCGTTTTTCTATTACGATCCCCTCTCCAAACTTTTCGGAATGACTCATTTCAATTCTCAAGTGAAAATTTGCCTGGGCCGTGAGTGTACATTTGCTGTTTGTGTAGGTTTTACCTTTCTAGAGTCTTCAACCCCAGTCTCAGAGCCCCCTGCACCAACATTGCGAGAGAGTGAAATCACAGACTCGCCAACTCCTTGCCCACGCTCCAGGCCTGAGCGTTCTGCAAATTTCAACACACACACACACACACACACACACACACACACACACACAAGAGAGAGAGAGAAATATAGCAAGAGCATTGCAAAGAATGTGACCAGTCAGTTTTCTAGTCTTGGAAAACAAGGGGCGAAGAAAACCCTTTCAGATGAAACTAAAGTGATCTGCGCCGAGATCCAGCAACCACTGCAGTTTCTGTACGAAGGAGAACAGCAGTGGTACTGGGTTGTGGATGGCCCTCCTACTGCACAGCAGGTACGTTCGTCAGGTTTGCATGTTGTGCATTGAATCGTGACGGAAGTCCTGACAACGGTAGTCCTGCTGCTACTCCTCTTGTTGACGGCAGTGACAGCTGGCTGCGCAAAGACACGTGCTGATGTGACCGGTCACTTCAGAGAGCGGTGTAACATGACTCGATTTGCAACAAAGCAACTAAAAAATAATAATAATAATAAAAAACACACACTTCATAAATCCATACTCTTTACAGTGGACAGGAATCAGCTGATCACACACCAAGAATGGTCAGGTCACAGACTACGTCAACATAGATGTTTGCATAATATCAGCTGGAAATAGGCTCATAATCGCCAAAGCAACTAGCCTTCAAATTTTGAACATGAGGGCAATCATCCAGCTGTCTTCAAGATTGCAAGATAAGTTCGATTGGAGTTTATGATTTATCACTAATGAAGAGGACCAAATTTTCAAGAAAGTCCAAAAGTCCGAGTACGGAGCATATGCTCAAACCACCACCACTCCTAAGTCTGTTCTGCCAGACCAGGTAACATTTTACTATGATTTAGGTTACTAGTCGAGACGCGCAGTTTGAACTTTGAACACATCGGCACATCGGCTAGGGCCCTCTGCCGAAGTCCGTTCCGGATTACGGGCTAGAAGTTCTCGTCGAGAGGCGCAGTTTGAACTTTGAACACATCGGCACATCGGCTAGGGCCCTCTGCCGAAGTCTGTTCCGGATTACGGGCTAGAAGTTCTCGTCGAGAGGCGCAGTTTGAACACATCGGCTAGGGCCCTCTGCCGAAGTCCGTTCCGGATTACGGGCTAGAAGTGGGCCGTTAGGCGCAGTTTGAACTTTGAACACATTGGCTAGGACCCTTTCCCAGAGTCCGTTCCGGATTACGGGCTAGAAATGGCCGTTACCCTTTCAACCGCCCCCTTCTCGTAAGGGGTGGGTCACACTTGGACATATCCCTTGAAGGTTAGTGGTCTCGGGCTCGCGGGGCATAGACTCCCTCTTGTCAAGGCCTGAGACTATAATTTTTTTTAAGATAAGAAGAAGGCACATTCTCATATGTGTGTCATCATGACACACGGGACCTCGGATCTCCAATTTTCATGCCAATGCAATAACTCATTCCATACCCAGTCAGATTCAAAACATGCTCTCTTCCATTCTCTTCATGCAACGATGCAAAGGAGATCCCAGTGCCTTTTCTCGTATGCCATCTTGGCACACGGGACCAAGGATCCCCACTCCCGCGTGGAAGGAGATCCTTCGCGTGCAGTGTGCTGCATGCTTGCATCGCCTGTTGCACCGCCGTATTCGCAAGCTAGACCTTGCCCAAACTGGCCGGCCTCTCACCAGTGATTCTTTTGTCCTGAGCTTAGGGCCTCTCTGCCCCACTCGCCAAATGTGTGGAGGACAGAAATGATGTCGGTGCATATTTCCATGTTCTAGTGGAAGGCCCATCCTCATTTTGCACATTTGGTGAGCATTTCACACATTCGGTGAGCATTTTACACATACCTTTTTGGATGATCAGACGCCCAGCAGCAGCATACCCATCGGTTTCATTATCATCATCAACAAAGCGAAACCGTCTCCAGCTCCCAAAGAAATCAACAATCCGGTTGAAAACGTTTCCTGCAACAAGCACCGTATAGATCACCATCGCAATGGGCACTACTTTGTTGAATTCCCTCCCAAAGAAGGGTATGTTATCCATTTGCCCCATTCTCTGTCAAGCCAAAAGCGAACGACGACAAACCAGCAACAATTACCACATCATCGTCAGACTTTGAAGTACACTGTAGACACACTCTTTACCTTTCAGAAACAGTCCTTCCAGCCCTCTTCCCGCAAACAGAATAACCCATGACCGCATACAAGCTATCTTTCCAGTTGAATACAGTCGTGATGACGAGGATTCATGGTGTTTGAAGGAAGACGGTAGGCCCACGCCCCTCAGATTTATCTCACTCCTGCTTAAGCCTGGATGGCACAGGCTTGACAGCAAGCATTTGTGGGGGAGGGGGGGGGGGGGGGGGGGGAATTGAGACCCCACTAATGGCTGAACTAAATACTTTGGTAAAGCAAGGATTTCCGCTTGCATATCTCTATTCAGCTGTTCCTAATGTACTACTATGCCAATTGGATTAGCTTCATACGAAACATGTCCACAGGATTGGCTTCATGTGATCATCTTCCTCTTCCGCCTCCAGCTCCTTCCCCCCCACTACAACACCATCCCACTTCAACGTTTCATATCTCCATTCAGCTATCCCTCATCTGCTCGTTCACACCAGGAAAAAGGTGAGTGGATTACTTTTTTATATGCCAATAGGATTCGCTTCATGTGAAAAAAAAAGAAACATGTGCACAGGATTAGCTTTGTGCGATTAGAAACAGTCCGTAATAGAGAGACACAGGAGTTCTCAGACAGTTACTGGCAGGGCTGAACTTCCGGTCCCACCGGGGCCCCCTTCCCCCACCGGAACCGGTCCGATAGTACCGGCCGGTGGACCGTGCCGGTTCCCCCCCGGTGGCATTTTGCGCAAGTGGATCGCGGGGGGGTTTGAAATCTTTTTGGGGCCAGGAGGCCTCCATGCGGGTCGTGGAGGCCTTCCGGCCCCGAAATAATTAAAACCGGGCCCGGTAGGCCCACCAGATTAGCTTCGTGCGATTAGAAACAGTCCGTAATAGAGAGACACAGGATTTCTCAGACAGTTACTGCTGATATGTTTGGGACAAAAAGCGGGGACTGAAATCCATTGAGAGAAGAAACCTCTTCTCCTTCGGAACATACATTCACACTGGAACGATACAGAGAAGATTAGCATGCATTAAATAATTGGAACGATTCTGAGAAGATTAGGATGGCCTCTGGGCAAGGATGGCACGTACAACTGAAGAAATGGTCAAAAGACTCAAAACTTTGACAAGAACAGAGAACGAGAAGAAATCTCTTCTCTTTCAATACAAGCACTCGTCTCCTCAAGCCCAACACACATAACGGCAATAATAATGGTAAAGAGTTCTAAGAACCACAGATACAGCGATAATGAAAGGGTTTCACACAGTTCGTGCAACAATTGCAAATACTGGGGCTTGATCCCCAGACTTCCCCCAACCCAGTGTACAGTACGTTTGTGTCCTTCGTTGACCCGTGTGCCTTGAACCCACGACCTGTTCCCAAACCCGTGTATAAATGCCTCGTGTGCGAAGCCCGGGTCGTGTGGATTTGATCCGTAGGTCTTTTGCTTAGAAGTCTTAGGGTCGTCCGTAGGTGTCCCGTAAAGGCAAGTTTACAATTGACCTTTCGAAAGGTCAACTGGCCATATGTCCTCTGAAAGGTCAGTAGGTCGTGGCTAGGTTAGGTCTCAAAGAGTCGACTTGACCTCTTGAAGTTAGTAGAGCCCGTCAAATCTCTGAAAGGTCAATAGTCCCAAGTGAACCCCGAAGGGGCACATGAAAAGGCAGTCCCAGTCCAGTCCGTTTTCCAGCAAGTACCGAAGTAGGACTGCACATCTTGAGGGCCGTGGACATCGGGCAGGCCCAGACCACCAAACGAAACAGTATAAATATAGAGGCAGCGATCAGTCATTCACTGATTATGAGACAAACTACGCAGAAGCACTGCTTGAGTGTGGCATACTGTGCAGCCACACGGGCCTTGCAGGGCCCGTCCCAGACCTCCAGCCTGTTTCCCTACAGGGAAACTTCCAGGCTCTTGCCTGGAAGCTTCCTTCTGGCAGGGCCTACAGGCCCCAGCCTGTTTCCCTACAGGGAAACTTCCAGGCTCTTGCCTGGAAGCTTCCTTCTGACAGGGCCTACAGGCCCCAGCCTG